CAGGGAAAGAGTCCTATTACTGCCTTTCCTTTTAACCAACCTTCTATCCTACAGGATGAAGTAAACAAGAAAGGGAGGTGAGCTGCAACATGTATTAGCCAACTGTCACATGAGTCTCTTTCTTTAATATTACAAAATGCAGGGAGAGAAACCATTCAGATTACCACAAAGAAATATGTAAAATGAACTCATTAAATGTGAATTAAAACAGAAACACTGAATAAGCACTGGGCTACAATTAAAGGCTGAAGATACAGCAGGTAAGAAACAATTTTCATTGATCAAAGAACTAAAAGCTAACAGAATCAAGTATTTTGCATTAAAACTGCTTTCATGAATATGAAGCATTTCGAATAACTTTTTTTGCATTTTTCAAAGAAGCTTTGGAGGTAGGAATTGATTTACATATCTTAATACAAAATACTTTCACTGTATCATTTTCAAGCAATGAAGCTATGAGGTTTCAAAAACTGCAGACTGCAAAAACATCCTCAGAAATAGAGCCAAAATTGTAAAGGGCATTGGGTCATTTTAGAGCGTTCCGACCCAAGGAAGAATTATTAAATAATTATATAAAATCGTCTATGCAAAACTTTAGTAGAGCCTATTTTTGACACAATTTTCCCTCATCATAAACAGAAGCTTTGGGGTACTTAGGCATAGAGTTGGTTTTCATCAACTCATTAAAATGGCAGGGCAAAGAGCAATACACCGTATTTTCAACTAGAAATACAAATTGAGACTTTGAAATTTACTGCACACAAGCTTGAAAACAAATATGCAGATGTATGAGCAAATAGTGAAGGCGGAATGTACGTTCCTGAGGGCAAAGGACTGTTTCTGTTGGGTTCCCTCGTTTCCCTGGCACTTAGCGCAGACCAGGACACATAGCAGGTGCTGGAATCACTGGATCTGCTTTTGTGAAACTGACACATTATGAGAATAGGAAGTTTTCTTCACATATTAATTTGAAAAGTTAAAAGATGCTGCTTTTCATCTGTGAAGAGGGCAAAAATAAATAATCTTTGATGGAGGAAATAGGTACTCTCATACACACTGAAACAAAGGGCAGGGCCACCAAGGACAGTCGTGCAGCTTGTATGCTGAAAGGCACTACATCTGGGTTGGAGAAAGGTAGGGGATTGGAAATCCAGTAGGTGTTCCACTAGTAAAAGCGGAGTCAGTCTCAGGAAGAATGCCTTTTGGAATTTTCAGCCCTGAAAGATAGGGCAGATCTCTACTACCATGTTGCATTAGAGGAGATTTTAGATAGGCTTGTAAAAATAGGGCAATTTTTTTTACAAATTTGGAAAAAACTAGCAAAATTTAAAATCTACAAACTCTTTAACTCAGAAATTGTCATTAAGATTTTTATTTTACATATATGCTTACATATGCAAGTAAAAAGATACGGCCACAAACATTTCAGATAACAGCTGTTTGTAAACCTAATGAGTGTTGATTTATCGATAAGTATTTTCATAATTAGTGCATTCCATAAAAGACTGGGCAGGAATTGCTGTGGAGTGGATCTGTACCTGCAGATGTGTAAATTCTCAAAGAGATGCTAAGTGAAACAAGGTATAGAAGAGACTATCTTCCAATGACTGGTTTTTTTCTCGTTAAAAATCTTAAAGTATAAGACACTAAATGTGTATTTCAATACTGACAACATGTTTGTATATATAACCATGCCCTCTAATATCTGCTGTTACTCAAATACCTAAATCCAGTTCTACGGAATGTTTAGAATAAACCACAAATATCACCACTAACATTCCATTTTAAACACAAAGAACTGCTTATTTTTTAAAAAGTCAACATATATTTTTAATAGCGGTACCAAAAATTACATTTTTATAAGTTGAATTATTTTAGGCATTTTTATTCTGTTTTATATTGTGCTGAAATCCTTCTCCACACTTTACAGAAGGCAAATGTATATATATTTTTTTCGAGACAGAGTTTCGCTCTCGTTACCCAGGCTGGAGCCCAATGCAGCGATCTCAGCTCACTGCAACCTCCACCTCCTGGGTTCAAGCGATTCTCCTGCCTCAGCCTCCCAAGTAGCTGGGATTACAGGCATGCACCACCACACCCAGCTAATTTTATATTTCAGTGGAGATGGGGTTCTCTATGTTGGTCAAGCTGGTCTCGAACTCAGGACCTCAGGTGATCTGCCCGCCCTGGCCTCCCAAAGTGCTGGGATTACAGATATGAGCCACCACGCCCAGCTCACAAAGGCACAATTTTTAACAGACTTTAACTAAATTATGTTTCTGTAGCTGCCTGGATCAGAATATTCAGTGTATCAATCATAATCCACGTGGGAAATGTAAGTATTTTTGAAACAGTCTTCATGCCAAGAAGAAAATCTTTGGTTTTGAGAAAGTCAACAGAAGGTACATTTCATTAGCAGTGAGGTCACAGTCAGTCCTGTTTATTCCTATTCTACCAGGAAATGCATCTTTATGTTTCACCTTAAAGTAAGCCAGAATTTAAATAAAGTGGAAGAGTATTATTTGCATTAAGGCGAGTTTAGCACTTAGAGAAAATGTAGATCTGAAAGGAGCAAGCTTCAAGAAAGCTCTTACCTTTAACAGAAAAACAATCACAGATACATACTATTTAGATTTTGATCTCCAACTGATCACTGGGTAAAGTCTACATTGTCTTTGCTGGCTCTGAATTATCTTCACAAACACACAAAATCCATCACTCCAGGGCTTCCTTTTAATCATTGTCACTTTCACCTACCTTTAGCACTGTTCTCCACACCTAAATCCCAAACCGGCCATTCAGATGTTTATTGAAATGTGTCTAATGAGGCTGGGTGCAGTGGCTCACGCCTGTACTCCCAGCATTTTGAAGGCCCAGGCAGGAGAACTGCTTGAACCCATGAGTTTGAGACCAGCCTGGGCAACACAATGAAACTCCATCTCTACAAAAACTTAAAAATTGGCAGGCATGGCACACACTTGTAGTCACAGCAACTCAGGAGGCTAAGACGGGAGGATGACTTGAGCCCAGGAATTGGAGGTTGCAGTGAGCTGTGATGGTGCCACTGCACTCCAGCCTGGGTGACAGAGCCAGACCGTCTCAAGAAAAGAAAGAAAAAAAAAAGAGGGACGGGTGTCTAATTTCAGAATTAGGCAATGCAATTAGTTGAATAAAATAATGTATTGCACACTGTCCACAATTTCTTATGTAATGTACATTTCCTAAGGAAGGCAGGCATGGATTTAGTCATTTATGTTCTAATGCACACTTACTTGCACTATTTAAAGCAACAGCTGGAGTCGGAGAAAACTTTTTTAAAACCAACCTTCTAGTCTCCAAGTCATTACTGGTAATTGATAACTGTTGAATCATCAGCTCCAAAGATCGTATTTCTTCCTTCTTGGAAGAAGAATTCCAGATAAAACTAAACAGAACTGCCCAAACATATTTCATCCTAATAAAGTTATTTATATAACTTATTAGGTAATAATTTATAACTGGGTAATGTTCTTTAGATTTTAAGTGCCTGTCTTCATAGAGCTTTACAATAAGGTTGTTTCTCTTAAAATTATTTGTGCACTAGATTAAGTTGAATTAAAATAAAATGTGCTTAACTGTCTTCAAAATAAGACAGGCTATTTTCTTCCCGTAGACTACTGACAGCACGGATTCTGGAAAACCTCTTCTACTTGGTTTTCTGATTCAGTTCAGATTTGTGATTACAAGTCAATCTGACGTAGACGTCACCTAAAAAGAGCTCATGAAAACTCATAAAATTTGTAATTTTTTCATAATTTGATAACCTTCAAGTCATTCACCAAAAGTCAGACCATGATAGAAAGGGAAGAAAAGCTGAAGAACATTCTTGTTTTACCACAGAGACAAAGACAATGCCAGTTACCTGACCTGAGTCTCCCACTAATGGGTAGCATGTTTACATTTTAACAATAACTTCATAAACAAAAGCAGATATGAGAAGTATTTTCAGTGCATAAAGATTAATATTTTATAAATCCACCTTTCATCTTTCTTCTGGACAGACCGCATCGGACTCCGAAAGTACTTACTGCAATCCAAAGTGTTTTGTAAGTGACACTCCTCAGGAATTAGCCCTAAACGAGCTCACTAAACCCTCCATACATTACGTGGAGAAACCTCCATAATAAGGACATCTCACATAGCATTGTTTTCTAAACATATGGTGCATTTCCATTAATGTTCAGGGTTAGCCCCTAAAGTAACTTTTGCCTTAACAACCCTGGAAGACAGGACCTTTGCTCATCTCACACTTCAAGTGTTCATGAACAACTCTGATAGCCACCAAGTTTCGTTTACAAAATTGCAGCTCGGTCATTCTGGGTTTTACCAAAAAAATCGTAATTTTGCAAAAGGCAGAAGATGTAATCTCGGCAATTATTTACTCTTAATTTTTCTTTCACCTCAGACCTTCAACGAGAGGTTGAAAAGGAAACATTCGAAGGGGCAAGAAGTTTAGATCCATCTGGAGGAGTTTCTGTGGAGCCCAACCATCCTCACCAGGTGCCTTCCATTAGAGTTTAATGCTTTGCTGGGGTTTCCTGAAAGAGCCCCACAGACAGTGGGTCTCGATGGGTCCTGAACCGCACGACCACCGCCGGCCAGGGGATGGAGGAAGGCGAGGGGGGACGGCGGCGGAGCGAGGGCTTCGGGACCCCGCACGGTCCGAGGGACCGCGAGCGAGGAGAGGGGATGCGGGGCCGACTGGCGTCCCCGGCGAGGCTGTCTTCTCGGTAACGCTCAGAGCGGGAGAGGACGGGGGGCGCTTGGAACACACACATTGGGGCCCCAGGCCGGCGTCAGTGAATTGGGGAACCCAGCGGCGTGGGCCGGGGTAGGCACGGGCACTTTGGCTCCGTCATTGACAGTTGGCAACGGGGGTCCGGTCGGCCGAGGCGGGGCGTGGCGCCGAACCGGGACGCGGGGCGGCGCAGAGAGGCTGTACCTGGCAGGCACCCACGTACCTAGCATGGTCACTGGGCAGGTGGCTGTTGCGCGACAGACAGGGGGCCTACGCTCGCACGGGCAACCGCCCGCACCTGCCACCAGCGGCTCTCCCGAGTTAAATCGTCCAGGCCTCCCCGCCCCCGCGCCCGGCCCTAACAATGCGCACGCGCGGACGGTACGCGGCCCTGGGCCTGCTGGGAGTCGTAGTTTTAATGCGTAGTTTCTTCTCACGTCTCCTCCCCACGTCCCTACCACCGCCCTTTCCGGCTTCAGGCCCAGGAAGCTTACGTCACAGGGGAGGCGGGCAGAGCCCTGCGCCCACAGTGTTGACCAGTCGCTTAGCAACCGGGAGGCTTACCTTTGGAAGCTTGTTGCAGCTCTAGCCACGGTCCTGCCCTCTTCCCGCCCCGCCCCTCCCCTAAACTCCCTTCACCAAGGAGCTGCCAAACATCTGGATCAACCTGGGCACTACAAAGGGTTGAATTTCTACCATTAACGCGCCTTTTGACATTTTTTTCCCGACCTCCTGCTCACATCCGTAAAATCCACTGATTCTTTTACTACACTTTTTATGAGAACAAGATATTTTCTAGGAAGATGGTGGCAGAAAAAGAGACCCTGAGCTTAAACAAATGCCCAGACAAGATGCCGAAGAGGACTAAGCTGCTGGCACAACAGCCTCTCCCGGTGCACCAGCCTCACTCCCTGGTTTCTGAGGGCTTCACAGTCAAAGCCATGATGAAAAACTCAGTCGTAAGTGATCTTCCTGAATTAAATGCACTTGCTCCGAATCAGGGGACACGAGATTTACAGAGGTTGGCCAGCCATAGGATGGACTCTGAGCCCAAGCCCTGGGTGGTCTTTGCCAAAAATGGCAATTACTTGGCAAGTAGCAGACGGTATCCCACAGCGTGTGGAGGGCAGGCTAAGTTGTTAGAATCTTGGGCAAATGATGTACTCTGCCCATTTATAAGCACCTCCCCGATAGCTCACAGTTTGCGCTATTTACACCAGGAAAAAAATCCCCCTTACTTACTAATTCCTAACTATCCCTACTCAGCGAAGAGCCTTATAGTAGGTGAGTTCTTAGAAATCATAAACTCTTGCAAAATTTAACATGAGCTGATATACAACTGAGCTGATATAAACTCAAGTAATCTATAATAAGAAATTTCTTCTCTTCAACCTAGGAAATTTTAGAATACCCTAGCATTTACTTTTACACTTGGCTCTTACAAAATGATGTCAGCTTGTTAGAGTACTGGAAGCCAACTTAATATGAACACTGTTTCCTGATAGGCCTTTTTAGATGATGTGCTTTAAACAATACAAGCTTTAGCTCATTTATCTCTGCTACTAATACAATTCAAATTTGTCTCTATTATTTGTAGTAATAAAAATAAAATATCTTAGATATCATTAGAGAAAAAAGATTAAAAATACATACAGATATTTTAGCTATATACATGATAGTGTATTTTTTAAAAACCTTCCTATTTTTTAAATAGCTTTACACTTGGTATGCTGAGCCAGATTTTGCTACTTAGTAAGCACCTGTCTGGGAATGAGGCATTAAATAATAAATGCAGCTTTCAAATCGGTATAATTTACACCCTGGGAAGATCTGAGTTATTGCATGACAATTCATTATGTTAAATGAATAGTGTTGTTTTCCAGTGCATTATTTCTTTTGCTTGTATGTTGCAAACCTAATACCTTATTCCTGAACTACATACTTAAAATACATGAATGAAACAGATTACCTATAGACCCCTAGGCCAGATTTGCATGTGGCTGTGCAAAATGATATCCTAATTATTAGAAAATATGTCAGGTGATTTACAGTAGTTAAAATTCTTGGAAATAGACTAAATTTCTGCTTGTTGTAACTAATTCTTTTTCTCTGCTTGTTGTAACTAATTCTTTTTCATGGAATTTCACATAAATTGGTTCTCATAGGAGTCAAGATGACTCATTTATCAGCAATACCAAAACCATTCAAGTTAATCATTTAATTTTTCTTCTACACAATATTTACAATTTTGGTTTTTTTTAATGTTATACTTTAATATCACAAGTATTTTTTAATGCTGGGTTCTCCTGTTTTTTCCTAAACCTGCCTTCATAATTTTTAGTTCTGCAAAATCTGATGTTACTGTATTGCCAAATGTAATATATATACCTACAAGACTTACAAAATTGATTATGAAGCAGCTTCTTTATAAACAACTTAGTTGAGATCCATTATCTTCTCTTTTTTTATTCTGAAGGAAAATCTCGTACTGGCAATACGTTTCTTGCCATTGGAAATCGTAATGCTTAAATGCGTACATTATTTATCCATTCATCTATTTATTCAGTCAACAATCCTCTCTCTCTATTTTCTTAATACCCAATACTTGCTAAGCACAGTTCTAAGGATTTAAGATCAGCAAAACAAAGTCTCTGCCCTTAGTACTCCAAGGAAAACCAAAGTAACAATCAAATCCTGCTAGAAGAAAGCTAGACGATACTGTTTCTGTAAAATAACTTCAGTGGTACAGAAAATAAAAATTTTCAATTTCATAACCAATAATTACATTTCACCATTTTTACCTTTAGCAGTATAGACTTTTCAGCACTGTAAAGTCAAAATATCCTCATCTCTTTCTGAAGGTGTATTTCTATTCAGGATATATAGGCCCATTTTTAGCTTTTCTTAATTGCAACCTCATGCCCCACAGCCTATACCCTCCAAACCGCTTTTCCAGTTAGATAAGTCACCTTCCAAAGCTCTTCCACCTAAAACGTGAAGAACTGAGTATATCCTATGGAGTTATACAGAGACTCCTGATATTTCTCTGAGCGCAATAGTGATACAAGTACATAAAGTTGGTCATAAATATGTTTCATCAAATGGGCCATGCAAGCAGAAATACTTATTTAAACAGTAAGTCTGAATATGAGTGTGCAAAATTATTGAAAAAGTAGTAAATGTAAATGGCAAATTTTTAAAAATCTCAATATCAACTATAGTTCTTCTATAGAAAGTAGACTCTGTTTCCATGAAATTTTTGTTGCATTCTTTAAGAAAACGAGCATCACAAAAGGCCTGCAATCAAATAATATTCAAATTCACATTTTTATAATGCTTACCTATAGATATAAAAGATATATAATTTGAAGATTTCTTATAGTTCATTTTCCTTTTAAAGGTCTTGTTTTGAGTGCAATAGAGCCCATGACCAGAGACTAGTAAGCCAGCATTGTGTGGTCTGTATCTTGCCAGGTGCTTTCTGTGCTAAACCAGCTTATCATGAGCAAATTCGAAAATCGACCCAAGTTTACAGTGACAGAGAAGTTGAATTCAGCCGAAGCTTGCTATTACAGCTTTCCTTCTCAGTAGACTATAGATGCTTTATGCTTAAAGTTTGGGGGAATGGAATAAATATTTTCTTTAATATTAAAGGTTGAGTATTCCTATTCCAAAAGTCTGAAACCTGAAATGGTCCAAAATATGAAAGTTTCTGAGTGCTGACCTTACACTAAAAGGAAATGCTATTTTGAGCATTTGGATTTCAGATTTTTAGAATTGGCATGACAACCAGTATATAATACAGATATAGTCAGCCCTTTGCATATATTCCGCCTCCATGGATTCAACTAACCTTGGATTGAAATGTTTGGGACAAAAATTTTATCTGTATTGAATATGTACAGACTTTTTATTTCTAATAATTATTCCCTAAACAATACAGCATAGCAGCTATTTACATAGTGTTCATATTGTTTTAGCTATTATAAGTAATATAGACATGATTTAAAGTATATGAGGAAATGTGTAGGTTATATACAAATACTATGCCATGTTATATCAGGGACTTGAGCATCTGCAGATTTTGGTATCTGCAGGAGTTCCTGGGAGCAATTCCTCATGGAGACTGAGGGATGACTGTATGCCAAATTTGAACAAAAAACAAAAACAAATCCAAAAGACTTCTGGTCCTAAGCGTTTCAGATAAGGGATAGTTCAAACTGTACTTTACAGTATAATGTGTTTTATATTTACCAGTCATATACTCATTTAACACATAGTGGTAATCATCAATGTTTATAAATTGTGTATTAAAATATTAATTTGGCTGCTTTAACAGAGACCAAATAACAATAGCTTAATTAAGATGGAAGTCGTTTCTGTCATAATAGAAGTTCAAGTTTGTAAGCAATCCCAGGAGGTTAGGCAGCATTTCCCCGTGAGGTAGGTGCAGGGGCATAGAAGCGTGTTTGTGCTTTGTATACTATAAAATGACACCTGAGACAAGCTGGGCTCAAGACCACGAGGGTCAGACACCTGCCCTCAGGAAGGAGGAAAGTGGAAGCAGAGAGCTTCCCATTATGGTCATGATCCAGACACAGCACCCCAGTTTCATTCTCGTCGAACTGGCCAGAACTTAGTGATACACCTACATGTTCCCTTTTGGCAAAATTGTACGAAAGCTTGACCCATGAAGCAACTCCCAGGTCCACATACCTGTCTCCTCAGGAAAAGGATGAAGAAAGCTACGTAGTTCCCAAAGGGCATCATCTCTAACACCTGCTTCAGGTAGGGGAGAGAAAAATGGGTACAGAGCAACCTGCAAGAATTAGGCAGGAAGAAATGAAGAGCAAGCAGCTTCATTATGAGGGCATGTCCCAGAAACAGCAATCTTCATTCCTGCTCAAATCCATTGCTAAAACCTAGTCTTACAGCCACAGCTAGTACAAGAGAGGCTGCGACATGCAGTCTTTAACTGGTAGCCCTGTGTCCAGTTCAAACTTGCAATGTTTTATTACTGTAGTGAAGGAATATTGGGGGATAACTAGAAGTGTCTAGGTCCGGTGCTAAATGTGCTATATTATTAGTGAAGAAAAAGAGAGAGACAAGTAAAATAATTACAATACAAATAAGTAGATATTTCTGGTAGAGAAGTACTAATGATGAAGGGACCACGTGGCAATAAACTAATGGGGTCTCTCATCACCTTTTGTCTAGGTTTGTACAATATCTTTCACCCATCAATTGGCTGACTCCCTCAATCAATTATCAGTACGATTACACTAATCTTTCCAGTACAGTGTTCTGCTCCTATCACTACTCAGAGCTTTTGGAGCTTCCCAGTTTTTTTTGTTTTTTTTTTTTTTTTTGAGACGGAGTTTCGCTGTTGTTACCCAGGCTGGAGTGCAATGGCGCGATCTCGGCTCACCGCAACCTCTGCCTCCTGGGTTCAGGCAATTCTCCTGCCTCTGCCTCCTGAGTAGCTGGGATTACAGGCACGCGCCACCGTGCCCAGCTAATTTTTTGTATTTTTAGTAAGACGGGATTTCACCATGTTGACCAGGATGGTCTCGATCTCTTGACCTCGTGATCCACCCGCCTCGGTCTCCCAAAGTGCTGGGATTATAGGCGTGAGCCACCGCGCCCGGCCCAGTAGCTTCCCAGTTCTTATAGAAAAATGTCATGATACTTCCCAAGGGCCAGCAATATCTTCTGTGATCTAATCCCATTCTGTGGTTTTAATTTTTTATTTTTTTTCTTTAAATTTTTAAAAAATATTTTATTGTATTTTAGGTTTTGGGGTACATGTGAAGAACATGCAGGATTGTTGCATAGGTAGATACATGGCAATGTGGTTTCTGCCTTCCTCCCCATCATCATTCTGGCATTTCTCCCCATGTTATCCCTCCCCCAACTCCCCACCCCCAACTGTCCCTCCCCTAGTTCCCCCTCACAGACC